TCTAGGCTGGAGATCTATACGGGTTCAGTTCTGAAAACAGTTACGAGCAACTTGCATCAAATAGTAAATATACCCAACTTGATGGCCGATGTATTTGTTTGCCAAGGAAGTCTTAAAATTTATTAGTTTTTGGGCATACCAAAAACCACATTACTTTGCAGAATTAATTTTGTTGATAGAATTTAACATAGCTGATGAAATTTTAATTAACTGCTATATGAGTGCTAAATATCCCTACTCAGGGACTACTTTAAATTAAAAACATATTTCTTTTATAGGCTATTGGGGACTTTTAAAGGCTCTGTTATTTATCATGGAAAGCCCCAACGTTTGATCCTTTACTACTATTTCACTGCTAAGCACGACAATCTCTGGAAGACATAAAGTTATACAATGGCCAATAATACTGGATGTTACTCCTTGCTCTACAGAGATGATTTCCCCTTCATAAAATTAGCATTAAACTGCAATATTTAAGTTTAATATGAGTTTTCCATTATATGTTGGGTGTTGCCTAAGTTCAATCATTTTCCTTAGTCAGTACTGCTTGTGTCTGCTATGTCTCCACACTAACCTAATATGTTTTATTGAGAAGTGTAGAAAATATTTAAAAAGTGTTGGGGTTAGTTACTAAATATTTACTTTCCATGCTATCCCATCCTATCAACTGTGTTAAGCTCTACCCATACAATCTAGTCTGAAGAAAAACTCAAAATTCCCCTAAAGCTGGAAATAAATCAGTCTCAGATGAGCCTTGGTCTATTTTCAAAATTACGTACTTGCATGGGCAGACCTAATGACTAACACAGCAAAACATTCCAAGATTTGAGACAACATTGGAAAATTCACTCTACTGATAATTCAGTGCATTGCAAACTACTATGCATTCTGAAGAGGTAAATATTCAATTTGCCCAACGGTATTGAAGAACTGCTAAACAGTGAACCAACTGTCAACTTAATAGTTCACTATATGCAGAGGGTCCAGCAGCCCCCCTACCCAATGAGGAAGCCACTACACAGAGTGCAGGTTTCCCTGCCTATGGGGAAAGGGGCATGAATGCCTATAAGATAATAAAGTACTTCCTTAGTAAGGCAATAAAGTTACAAAGTGTTTTCTTGTCCCAACCAAAGTCTACCACTGACATTTTCATGCATGCTGGGGGAGTTTTTTCATTACAGAACAAAAAGTAATTTCCAAATCATCCGCACATCTCAGAAAAATAATTGGCCAATATAAAGATGTCCAAGATGTTAGGGAACTGTAACTAAATTTACTGGTTTTTGTTCAGCTATTGGATCATGGAGGCATGTTGGAGAACATTTTATTATTCATAAGGCTCAGTTCACAAAACTTGAACACAAGGTTAAAGTGGAGCTCCACCCAAAAGGTGCAGTACCGCTTTAAGAACTGCTCCCCATTAAGGATTGGCACCTTTGGGGGGCGGGGGGGAGCAGGTACGCAAATTTGAATGGTACCCGCTCCCACTTCCCGTACGATCGCCTAAGCGATTGGAAACGGAAGGTGTCCTCCCTCCCTGTAGTTTTTTGGGACACGTAACAGGTCCCAGAAGACTACAGGACTATTCATGAAGCACAGCGCTACTTGCACATGCGCAGTGGATACCTGGCTGTGAAGCCGCAAGCTATCACAGTAGGGTGCCCACACTGAAGATGCCGGCCTCCTGGAATACAGGACAGCTGGTGAAACTGGTTGCGGGGGGACACACCATGGGACCGAGGGACAGATAAGTGTCTGTTTTTTAAAAGTGAGCAGCTACAGTTTTTGTAGCTGCTGACTTTTATTTTTTGACAGAGTGAGTGGAACTCTGCTTTAAGACTAGGTTTACACCTGTGGTGTGAGGGATGATAACTTATGCTGCCTGGCAGTGTTTCTACTGCTCCCTCTAAAGCTGCAAAGGCAGCAGACAGGGGTATATGCATGCTATTGCTGCAATGATTTTCAATAATTATCCCCTTTATTGCATTTGGCGGGCAGTACAGCCCACAGAATGTGATCCTATTGACTGAATGGAGCAGCACCACAACTGCATGCATTCCAAGGAGTTGCAGCATGGTGGTGCTGGATTGTGGGGGTTAACATAAGCGGTGAGGAGGCAACATAACTTCTCCTAACTGCCTGTCAAATGCCCTTTGAAAAGTAATCACTTTTCAGAGAGCGCTGCTAGCAAAATCAAGCCCTAAGGTACTCCAGCCACGTGACTGTACTTTTCAAAATTCATTGGATTCAAAATAACAACATTTTTTTTAAAATAATGATCTTTATTCTGATGTTTTAACTTTGTGAACTGAAGCTATAGCCAACTGTATATATGACCGCTTGACCTGACCATTGGTTGAGGGAAAAAGGTGTAACCAAATTGCAATCTTTCTGACCCCACTATTTCAGCACTGCTACGTCTTCTTGTGCTCATTGAAAGTGTTAGGATAGCAGTAGAGTGTTTACATGTAAGAGTGATGTGTTAAGGTTAGGCTAATCATTAAGGCTCCATTTCAAGGGTTAGTTTAGTTTAAGCAGGCCAGAAGGGTTAGGGTTATGGATAGTTTAGACTTGGGGGGGGGGGGGGGGGGGTATGGTTGCTTAATGTGAAATTTAATTTTTTACTACTGAAGGGTCCATGCTCATATGTACTGCTTTGGGCTGCCAGCACTTAAAAGTAATAAGTGGAAATTTTAAATATTTGGTCAAATTTTTGGCTTTTCAACAGTGGTTAGAAATCTCAGCATAAAGCATGTATTTAACATGTATGTGTACCTTCTACTCTGGTTGTCATACATTAAAAGCGATATCAGTTGGCAGGGCTGCTGAAAAGGGGGTACCTCCAAACCTCCTGTAGGGGGCCTGGGCCCTTCACTGTGACGGGGGGCCTGGCTAGCCAGCAACTTCAAGTTTCATCTTAAGACCTCCAGCGCTGGCCACTTGCATTGCCGCTCACTACTGTCAGCTGTCACTTATAAAACACAGAATCCCAGCTTCTGTTTTATAAGTGACAGCGATCTTCTCCCAGCGGCACACTAAACCCTTCCTGCTCATCCAACTGAGGGGGAGGGGGGTATTGGCGTGGAGGAGGGGGCGGGGCATGCAAAAAGCTCCAACCTCGCACCCACAGCATCTATAGAAGCCCAGGTCGGCAGCCTGACTCTCTACTGTAAGTTACTATACATTCCCTTCTGTGGGGTAGAGGAACGCTGTGTATTGGACAGGGAGGAGAAGAAATGTCTGGAAGAAGAAGAGAGGGGCGCTCTGCACTGGGCAGGGAGGAGAGAAGAGCTCTGTACTGAGGAGGAGGAGGCAGAAATTTGGGAGGAGAGCTGTGTATTGGGGGGAAGTTGTTAACTGGCCTGTGAGATATGCACACCTCCACTATGTACATAACACAATCTTTAACTCTGCGATCTGAATGTAACACACTCCTGAATCCTGCACTGTGAATGTAGCGCACCCCTGAACCCTGCACTCTGTATGTAGCCCAATCCTAAACACTGCACTCTGTATGCAGCCTGATCCTGAGCCCCGCACTCTGTACATAGTGCACTCCTGAGCCCCACGCTCTATATGTAGCCCAGTCCTGAACCCTGCATGCTGCACGTAGCCCAATCCTGAGCCCCACACTCTGTATGTAGCCTAATCTTGAACCTCACGCTCTGTATGTAGCCCAATCCTGAACTCTATACATAGCCCAATCCTGAACCCCGCACTCTGTACCTAGCCCAATCCTGAGCCCCACACTTTGTATGTAGCCTAATCTTGAACCTCACGCTCTGTATGTAGCCCAATCCTGAACTCTGCGCTCTATACATAGCCCAATCCTGAACTCCCCACTCTGTGCCTGACCCAATCCTGAAACCCCCACTCTGTACCTAGCCCAATCCTAAACTCCCCACTCTGTGCCTGACCCAATCCTAAAACCCCTACTCTGTACCTGGCCCAATCCTGTACCCCACACTCTGTACCTAGCCCAATCCTGAACCCCCACTCTGTACCTAGCCCAATCCTGAACCCTGCACTCTGTACATAGCCCAATCCTGAACCCTACACTCTGTACGTAGCCAAATCCTGAACCCTGCACTCTGTACATAGCCCAATCCTGAACCCTACACTCTGTACGTAGCCCAATCCTGAACCCTGCACTCTGTACATAGCCCAATCCTGAATTCTGTTTTTTGTATGTAGCACACTGGTTGGGGGGGGGGGGGGGGGGGGTATTGTGGATGATATTGATGGCCAGTGATGCAATGGGGGCATGACAGAATTCCTGCACCTATTTTCTGAGAACAAAATCCCTTAGTCCCGTAGCCTTAGGCCTCATTTACACCTGTATTTGTAACTGCTCCCCCTTCACTGCATACAAGACAAAGCTGCATTTTGTTTCCAGATGGGTTCAGGGGAGGGGCCAGAGGTGGGTTCAAGGGTGGGGTGAAAGGGGGCCCAGTCCGGCAGGCTGTACGGGGCCCCATGATTTCTAACTGCAGCCCTGCCAGTTGGTGAGGGTGGTTGTAAACACACAATACAACATAACTTTCAGCAAGTTAGGCCCAATCTATGTGATATGGCCAGCATGTTGACATCTTATGATGTCAGTTCTTTTGGAAGTGGAATGTTGCAGGTTTTACTGCTGAGTGAAATAAAAAAATCAACCCTATTTAGTTTTGAATAGTCTCAGAAGAATGAATCAATTATATCAATTATATCTATTATTATACATACAGTATGTTGGTCACATATCTGTTCTGAGCTTCTACAACCTTAACATGTAGAGCCACGTATCTATTTAACCAAGTTTAAATGAGCATTCTGCCTTTTTTCAGAATCCAGCTGCCGAAGAGCTGCAGGTCCTAGTATACCCCTTCTGCCCCCGAGCTGCAAAGCATGCTGGGAATTGCAGCTCCTTAACAGATAGAGGATCACAAGTTGCTTGTGTGCAGTTAAAACTGTCTGTAGGAACAAGATGGTGATAAAGTGGTCTTGGTTGATCTTACCTGCTTTAACAGAACAATGGATGTGAGCTTTAGATTCATAATAGACCCAGTCAAATCCAGCTTCTACTGCCAACCTGGCCAGCATGCCATACTTGCTGCGCTCCCTATCAGAAGTGGTGATATCCACAGCTCGCCCTTCATAGTGTAATGATTCTTCTGAATGGTGCCCATCTTCATCCCAGCCCTCTGTCACCCGTAATTTCACACCCGGCCACTGGTTCATCACTGAAATTGCCAAGGCATTGAGTTTGTCTTTGCATCTCTAGAGGGAGAAAGCAAACAAAGAGAAGGTAACTAGTCACTACAGAGATAAAAGAAGAAACTGCAAACCCTTGAAAGAACCTGCAGGACCAGTTTGTGGAATTTATGATGAGAAATCACTGATTATATTTATAGCTGTCTTAAAGGGTCAGTCCACTGAGGATTCCTATTTCAGTTTTCGGTTGGTGCCAGATTTAGATGACCCACCAGCTTCTTTTATCTGTGGGAGATACAGGCGATATCTCAGTAATTATGTGACCAGCTAAGCATTCTGTTAAACCTCTGTGTATTAGTATTGCTTTGACCTACAAGAAGAAGTAGTCTCCTAAAAGCTTGTCCTGAAAAAATGAACTGTTATTCATCACGTACATACTCAACTGTGCTATTGTATAACGTCACTGGCCTCCATCACCTCACATTTGTATATTTTGAAAACTGCAGCATATGAAATGAGACTTTAAGGCAAGTAAGGAAAGTCAGGAACTACATATTGGAATCCTCAAGATATAACTTTCCAGAGTCTATAAAGAACCGTAATATCTGTTTTGGTAGACTGACTCTTTAAAAGAATTCTGTCACTCAGAGATAAGCTCCTGGATATAGAGCATGTCACAGTTTAAATGAAATAATTTGCTCCAAACCCATGCCAATATTACTGAGTAATACAAAATTCAGAGTTTGAATGACTATCTGTGTTTTCACAGAGCAGCATCACCTGCTTCTGATCAATGAAACTTCTATCTTCAGAGTCAGGCTGTTGTTGCTGTAGGTAAAACTTGCATTGCTATTTTATCCTGTTGCCCATTTCCTTCTCCTAGGGAGATCAGAATTGAATCTCATCAATGTTCAGGCACTACTTCCACATTACATAAGGACCGTCAATGTGTTCAGTGCATTCCCAAGCAGTGATGATCAAATCTGGAGAACTGACAATTTTTGTATGCTGGCAAGCACATCTGTCTAAACTGTCATGCAATCCAGGAATCTGGTCAGTTTTTGATTCATGAATTTTATGACTGGATTTGACAAAGCTGCTTACTTACATTTAGTCAAATGAAATGATTGCTTTGCCATGATGTTTTGATTCTCTTTAGTTGTTCTGTACATATTCAGCAAAGCCAGACAAAAAAACAGTGTAAAGTCCATTCACAGCAGCCAATCATGTTTCTCTTCCTTTCAGTATCATCAGAGCAATGATATATGACTGCAGACTGGTTGCTGTGGGTTCTTGCATGGATCAGATCTAACAATACAAGGTCCCCCTTTAATTTACTGCAAGAAAGATTTACTAAACATTGAATAGTTTACTGCAACATTAGTCATATATAAAAGGATCAGGACCCCCAACATGTCTCTCTCTAGGCTGCTGGTGGCCTGATATGCAGCAGGCTTGGCAGTCATTTGCCAGGTATAGAACCAGATATATACCCCCTCAAAAGTCACATTTTGTCAGAGAAAGTCTTACAAAGCCATGAAAACCCTTTCTGCCTGTTTATGGAAACCTTAACTGAGTTTTCATTCCGTTCATTATTTTTAACTTCCCCTTGGCGTGGTTGGTAATACAGTATAAGAACATTACATGGTATATATATATATATATATATATATATACACAGGGGTGAGACAAAAAACTGGAAACGCATTGAAGACTTAGTCCCATGAAGACTAAGATTGAGCTCTGCAGTCACTTTTTCAGCAGTTGTTTTCTTATTCTGGGTCACAATCCTGCACAATGTCCTTTTGTCTCTTTTGGTCACTTGACCATGTCGACCGCGCTTTACGCTTATCAGATGACTTTTTCCTGGAAACTGTATTTGCCGCCATAACCTGTGATACTGTACCTCACAGATAAAATGGCATCTTCAGTCACACAGGCACCAGCTATGCGGGTACCAACAATTTGCCCTCTTTGACGCTCAGTAATTTCTTTCATGACTGTGTATTACTAGCAGTGCACACAGTGAATGATGAAAGTGAGGCTTCCCATCTGTTAGCTAGGTATCTCATCACACAGTGGAAGCAAAAGAACGTTACATCACTTCCATTTTCCATTTTCAATGTGAAATATGTCATCACTTCCACACTTGCAAATCATGCAGTGTTTCCATTTTTTTTCTCACCCTATATATATACACTACTTTTTCCTTGAACAGCTTTAAAATGGGGCACAATCACATATGTAATTTTATATATATATATATATATTTTTTTTTTTTACTTGAATAGCTGTAAAATGGGGCACACACACACATACATATGTATATATACTACTTATTCCTTGAACAGCATTAACATGGGGCACACACACACACATACTACTTTTTCCTTGAACAGCTTTAAAATGGGGCACACACACACACACACACACATATATATATATATATATATATATATATATATACACACACACTGCTCAATATATTAGGTGTTTGCCCCCATTTTATGTTTGTTCAAGGAAAAAGTAGTATCTTATTGTGTTTCCGGTAAGGAATTTAATTAATGTAAATTAACATTGACTTTTATGGTGATCCCCCTTTCAGGTGAACTGGTGCTCCACAATGTATTTATATGCAGATGTATCTGATCTGTGGTCAGTTCAGGATTTCTACAATGTTGTATGTCCTCCTCAGCCTGGACAAATCTGCATTCTCTATCTTTAGTTTCACAAAGTTTGACAGTTGGCTGAATAACAAGTCAATTTGCCCATACCTATTCATATCTATTAATGATTTATTTTTTTCGTGTAATTTGCACTCTATAATACTTGTTCTACCTACCCCAGTACTAATCCAATCAAACCACACTCTGAATCCCCCAGATTCCAGGACTCAGCAGTCTATGTGAACATTGCTGCAGCAAGTTATCAGTTCTCCAGCAAACAGATCTCTCCAACCAAAGGGGTCCTGAGAAAATGAAAGGGACCGCATGGAGGGCTCTGGCATCTAAACATGTCAGTCAGCCACCGTGCGACATTCCGCTCACTCTAAGGACTTGAACAAAGTGAACTTCTAGAAGACAAATGCTGTCAGGACTTTAAATGGGGAGCCGGGATTTACACCGGAAAGTCTGGGGATCCCTTTCACGGGAATTCCTGGCACACCATTATGTGCAGATCACTCAGTAGGGTCCTTAGCTCTGGAGGTATGTGCAAGGTGTAAAGTGTCCTGGACACACTCTGCTACAAACGTCTATAGAGGGGAGATAGGGCCAGGGCTGGGAAGATAACAATGTTAAAAGAACAGGTGACTTGGACTTTAGGGAAGGCAGTGAACAAACATTATTTATCTTGAATGTCACTTCAAAAATCTCCTTCAGTCTCTAATCCATCCATAACCCCCCCCCCCCCCCCCCCCCCCCCCCCCCCCCCCCCCCCCCCCCCCCCCCCCCCCCCCCCCACCAAACCCCCCCCCCCCCCCCCCCCCCCCCACATCCCTTTGCCTAGTCAATTACATGTTCCTAAAACGCCACCAAATAATACAGACATGACAGCAGATAGCAACTGCCGTCATTCTTTTTAGTTATCAAAGTATATAAAATTCCATAGAAATCAGAAATCCTCACTCTGGTTCGGGTGGAGGGCTTTAAGAAAAGTTATGTGGAATAAAATCCTTTCCGGATTGCTAATTTCGTTTCTGGATGATAAAATATTGATCCATGTCATCAATAGATCGGCGTCATGATGTCATTGCTGTGCTGGTATTATGATGTCATTTATTCCATCGATCCATTTACGGAGCACGTGATCACTGAGCGGTTCTGTGACTACTCATACGCCATACAACCCCATTTCAAGCCAAGCGAAGTACACCGCCCGGGTATTACACTGCTGCTGTCGGATTATTAAACGACTAATAATTCAGACAGGTGTTGGGATTAAATCTAATAAAAACAATATAAAAAAGCCAACATTCATATTTAAATAATGAACTGAACACATCTGTCGGGAAGCGCTAAATACTCTTCCTTAGTAAATAGATAATGTTTTGTGTTTGTGAACACTTATTGTGTTCTTTTGTATCGCATATTATTGTGATCTTCTTTTATAAACACAGATGTATTTTTTGATCATTTTAGTGGTTTACTTTTCCAGTAACATAGGGACCCTGCGCTGGCTTCACTCATTTGTTTCACTTTTTACCATTTCTTCAGTTCTTTTTTTTATTACAAATATGTGCAATTTACACTTCACTTTCCACACTGTACATTCACTACAGTCCCTGCACTCAAGGAGTTTACAATCTAAGTTCTCTATCTCACATGCATGCATGCACATACTAGGGCCAAGTTGTTTTTGGAGATGCTGATACATTAATTGGCTCCTGTCTGTATTGGCACAGGGACAGAACATACAAACTCCATGCATGTAGTGTCCTGGTTGGGACTGAAAGCCCCCAGTGCTGCACTGCAGATTGCTAACCACTAATCCACTGTGCTGCTCCCTAAATGGGGCTTTGTAAATAGTTATCAGATCTAAACTTAGGCAGGTCATAGATGAGTCAAAAAACTGAACGTTCTGTCAATTGCAAAAAATGACGCATACAATTGTGTCATTATTTGTTTCGTTTTTTCGAAACAAAACCCTGCATGTTGGATCAGGCATTTTCAATAGCATTGAGACCCGAAAATCAGTGTCACAGCTGGCACATAATGGTGTGAAAAATGAACAGCCAAGAATTTTTTTTCAATTTTGACTCCTCTATGGACTGCTTTAGCTGAGAGGATTTACTAAAACTGGTGCACTCAGAATCTGGTGCAGCTCTGCATGGGAGCCAATCAGCTTCTACCTTCAGCTTGTTCAGTTAAGCTTTGACAATAAAACCTGAAAGCTGATTGGTTTCTCTGCAGAGCTGCACCAGATATGCTCTCTCCAGTTTTAGTAAATCAACCCTAATGCATCCTTACACATACAAATATTTAAAGCAAATCCAAACCCCCAAACCATAAATTGATAATATTATTTTTACAGGATTTATATAGCGCCAACAGTTTGCTCAGCGCTTT